ACGTCATAAAATCACGGTGCCAGAGAGCTGGCCTGTTAAGCAGGCAGAATGCATCTGAAGGCAAGAGATCGGGGGGCCTCCTCCAGGTGCTGGGGAAAGGCCAGGCCGAGTTGGGGATGCATGCCATCGGGGGGTGGTTGACAGAATGGTCTCCCAGGCAGCCACAAGGAAAAAGAGGCCTCCCACGGGAGGCTGGGGCAGCCTCAGGTCCCAGACAGCCCTTCCCCCTCAGGAAGTCTAGGAAGAAAGCCAGCTAGCGCAGGCTGCAGCCTCTGAGGCCTGTGCCAGGGGTGGCTGGCTCAGGGGCAGCAGGAAGCTTTGGGCCCAGGCCAGTTCGTCTATAATTGTCCTTTCCCATGCAGAGGACTGTTGAACAGAGAGGTAAACCGAGGCAGGGAGTGGCCTGGGTGGGCCCCCACCAAAGGCCGAAGGAAGAAGAGTGCCCAAGAGTTCAGCCTCGCCCGATGCCACGGTCCAGCATCAGCCCTGAAGTGTGGATAACCAAGAGGCAGCAGGTCTGGAATATTGGGGCGCATCACAGGGTGTGCTAGGCCATCGCTCTGCTGCAGACATGGGCCGGCCAGCGGTGGCTTTGTTTGCTCAGGCGGCCCTCCTGACCCCCAGGAGGGCGGCGGTGGAAGGGCCTGGGACAGGGGACAGCAGGAGGCCGCGGGTCATCCACAGGGCGATCGTGGAGGGTGGACCAGGCGAGGGGGCCTCTTCCTTCCTTCCTTCAGTACCCACAGAACCAGAGGGCGCTAGTCGCCCGCGTTGCTTTAGCAGCTGGAACTCTTTCTCTGCATTAATCTCCATAAGTGCCGAGAGAGCACCGAGTCCATTATGCTAAAATATGAATGGAGAATTAACTAAAATGTTTGAATACAATTAGGTTAGAAAAAGTGGCTCCTTATTAGCCCATCATTAGCTGAGGCAATGCAGAGAGGTTGGGAGAGTGCCCCCTCTCCCCTCTTGCCCAGTCTGACTGTTTAGGCGGCCCCAGGGCCAATTAAACCTCCGCCTTCACCGCTGCCATCTGGCCAGGGACCCCCTCCTCCAAGTGGCCCAGAGAGAAAGTGGGGGCAGGACGACTGAGGCAGGGCATCTGCTCATAGCGACCGACCGGTCCCATCTGAGGTCCCAGGCCCCTGAGGTCTGTGCCAATGCCCTTCCACCCCCACCGCCACCCCCAACCTAGACCAGCGGGTGCAGAGGCTGCTGGAAAACCCCTGTGAGAGCACAGGTCAGAGTGCACCAGGGCCAACTCCTTTGTTTCACCGAGGAAGAGAACAAGACCAGCAGAAAGCGAGTCCTCCACACTCTGGGAGGAGTGATAGCGCCCGGGCCTGAACTCCCAGCTCGAGGCCCCCAGCAGCGGCCAGGGGGGTTTCAGACCCAAAGCTTGGGGATCTGGCCCAGAGGATGCCCTCGGAGAGTTTGCCAAAGGCTCTGGCTGTTGGGCTCTGAATGATGCCGCCCCCTTTCTGCTCCCCAGCCCGTGGTTTTATAGGCAGCACCTGGGCTCCCAGCAGAACCAGGGACGCCCTGACCCCCACCCCCTGGAGGAGGGAGGAGCCTCGTGCGGATCTGCTGCTCAGAGAGCTCTGGTCATTGCCCAGGAGGGGCCCAAACCAGTGGTCACTGGCATGTTGGCAGCCCTGGCCCCATCTCCCTGCCTCCCAACAGTATGAGCTGTTTTAGGCAGAGAAAATACCAGAGTCAGACAGTGGGGAGAAGGGCACCCCAGGACTGCCCCGCCCCCAGTCAAGGGCAGGAACGCAGGAGAGGGGCAGGGAGGGTGTGAGCTGTGAGTGAGGGCAGCAGGCAGAGTGAGTTAGTAGGGGTCACTGGGAGCCTGAGGATTTGCAAAGGAGAGTGGCAGGGAGTAGGCGGAAGGTGGAGACACAGGCCCCCACGGCAGAGGCCACACCATCAGCTGCCACAGCCAGCCAAGCCTGCTCGCTGGGGTCAGTGGAACCGGAGAGGGCGGTGCAGGCAGGTGTCCCACACAGTGCGGTGGGCGTGGAGCTGGGGCCAAAGGCCAAGTGGTCCCTTGGGGCTAACCTGACTGCTCAGGCTGGACCTAGGTGGCCAGTCAGGCCCATTGCCCTGGTAACCAAAGCCTTTTCCGTGGGCCTCTCCCTGGGGTCTGGCTGAAGCCCTCCCGCTGGGCACAGCACTGGCATTAGCAGGGAGGTGTTTGATTCCTGCAGCCCCAGGCTAGGGGGTGTGTGACGTCATTCGGGGGACACTGTGGGGTAGGTTACTCAGCAACATCACCAGCCCCTGGGAACGACTGGAAATGCAGACGCTCACCTCCTGCCCCAGTCCACACTGTGGGCACTTCTAGGTGGGGCTCAGGCATCTGTGTTCTAATATGTTCTCTGGGAAGTTCTTTTGCACACAGAGATTTGAAAAGCTCTGGTATGGACCATCCGGGACCCCAGATCTGGGAAAGAGGAATATGGGATGACCTGAGCCCCTCTTCGGGGATCTCTGAGTACCCGTCATCCGCTGGAAAGGTAACACACACTATTGCAATCCGTGCACATACTCTCATGTGCCAACAGGAGCACGGCAGAATGTCCCCAGCATGGGGATGCGGCGTGAGAGTAACGAGAGCGTTTAGCTTCGAGCAGGCGTGTCAGGAGTTCTCAGAGGCTGTGAGAGTCTGCACGTGCTGGTTAGTGGTGGAGGAGCTCCTGGGTTGTTTGGGGGTGAGCGTGTACGTGTGGACACTTCAGCCTACAGACCAGGTGAGCCCACAAGGCCTCCCACCTTCTCCTCACCCCCTAACACGTCTGGAGCGTGCAGTGCAGGTTGTCGCAGAGAGCGGACCCAGGCAATCCAGACTGACCAGCTGGAGACGCCTGCGCCCCCGAGAGAGATGGTCTCTCGATGCCAAACACCAGAGCTCGCACCATGGGGCCAGCAGACAGCCACCCATCTAGGGCCTCAGGATGACCTCCCACACGGTGGCTCAGTGGGTCCCCCTTGGGTGGGTCCCCGAGCCCCCGTCGCTCAGACAGCCCCACATCCACAGGGCAGTGTCTGCGGAGTTGTGTTTTGGGGGGGGAGTGCGGGATAAGGAAGAAAGGCTCAGCCCAGTGGTCCCCAGTCTGAAGCCCACGCCCTCAGCAGCCCGAGAAGGCAGCCACATGGGGGTTCTTAGGTTCTTTTCAGTATTTCTAAAAGCTTAAAAACGTCACACACATGCCTGTGTTAAGAGCCCACAGATGCACTGAGTGGCAACATGTTTTTTGTTTTGTTTTGCTTGTGTGTTGTTGTTTTTGCCATCATCCAGTGTGAAACCTTCTGTGGCTTAGCAGCTCTGATTAGCAATTACATGTGCCTTTGATTAGCAAAAACTGAAACAAGTCATTATTGAAGTGCTCTTAACTTCAAAGACGGCCTTTTATAATGTGGGGTTTGTTGGCGATGATAAGGGGGGCCCTTGGGGATCAGCAGGTTGGGAACCACTGCGCAGAGACATCAGAGGGTGTAACTGAGGTCCCACTGCCCTGACCCAGATTCCAATGACCTCAGAACCCCCCGTCCGGGGGACATGTCGGCCGAACAGGCGCCAAGGACCCAGCGGGGGTCAGGACCAGGAAGGCTTCCCAGAGACCGGCTCTCAAAGAGAAGGGCCCAACTCGCTCCCAAATCCTGGGTTTCGGGGAGAAGCTTATGGCTAACGCAGGCCTTGCATTCCCAAGTCCTGCTGTTTGTAGCGATGACGTGGCCACCGCGATTACTTGACTATTAATGAGTCTGTTCAATTATTCATTGTTACATTTTTGAAACAAATCCGTCCCCTCACTGCTCCTCTCATCCTGCGCACTTGATCAAAGTCTCCCCTTCAGACAAAAGGAGACGGAGAGATGTGCAGCTCTAATCATCGAACCGTGTGTGACCCGGGAGAAGGAGCAGGAGTGGGAAGAGGCAGCGGGGGGCTGGGGAGCTCGGGCGTGGGAAGCCTTGCAAGAGAAGGTGGGTCCTTCAAGAGGTGTCTGAGGGAGGGGGTGCTGAGACCCCAGGGACCCTCACCCCTTCGCCCCGAGAGGAGAGAACCAATGAGCTGTGGAGAGGCAGCAAAGAGGAGGTCCCCAAACCCATGAGGCGGGCCTGGGGGCAGGCAGGGCCTGACCACCCCCAGGCCACACCCTGGAACCCGCAATCCCAGACGCAGTACCTGGCGCCGCGCTGGCTGAGCTGCCGGAAGCAATTACATCGTCCAGCATTAGATCTAAAAGAACGAAACACGACATGGGTCACTGGCCGGACCTGGCGGGCTGGGCAGGGCCCCCTCATAGCTCGCTCCCCCTCGGCTCCGGCCCTCAGTCCGCCTACGAACGGGGTGTGCCTAGCGTGGGTGGGCTGGTCCTCAGTGTCCAGCCGCAAGCTCGGGGCGCAGAGCACTTGAGGAAAAGGGAGCTATTCAGCCAACTCGACAGGGTCACGGGGACAGGGAATGGGGCACGGGGCGGGGCAGGCAGCCTGTCATCAGAACAGATGTCCACGCCTACCTGTGCCCCGGCCTCAGCTGCACCTGAGGCGGCTCCAGACCCCAGAAGGGGAGCCAGCTGGTCAGGCAGGGCCACAAGTGCCTCCTGCCAAAAAGAATTCCGTCTGCAGATGCCCTGCCGAGAAGGCAGACGGCAAGGAGGGGAGCGGGGATGGAGCAGGGGTGGGAGCATGGCTGCTGGGGGCGAGGCGCCTGCTCAGCTTCAGACACAGAGCGAGCCAAGATGGGGCCCCTACCCCAGGGCTGAGCGGTTCGCCCGGGACACAGGTGTGGAGGCTGTGGGACGGGGACAACTGCACCACCTGTGCTGCCCAGAGGCCAGTCTCCCCTCCACGCCTGCCTGAGGGCCCCGCCTCTCCCAGGGCACACGGGCTCTGCCCCACCCGCACCCATCTGGTGGTACTCACATGTCAACACACCAAAGAGCAAACTCACTGCACACATCTTATCGGCGGAAGGAAGACGGTGTGAAAAGGAGGAGAGAGAAAGGGAAACCCGCCGACCAGACAGAGACAGACACACAAAGACTTAGAGAAACCCACACACAGAGACACTCAGAGAAACGTGGGCAGTGACAGGAAGAGACTCGTGGGGATGACTGGGTACCAGACAGGCAGGCAGGAGCCCCGAAGACAGGTGCAGGCGCACCTGGAGACTCCGAGAAGCAAAGGGACTCCTCCCCCTGTCACCTCTCGTCCGTCCTCCCTGCAATCTGTGTGTCTTTTCCCTTAGTCCAGCGGTTCTCAACCTGTGGTCACGACCCCCTTGGTGGTCGAACGACCCTTTCACAGGGGTCGCCTAAGACCATCCTGCATATCAGATGTTTATATGACGATTCATAACAGTAGCAACATTACAGTTATGACGCAGCAACGAAAATAATTTTCTGGTTGGGTCACAACATGAGGAGCTGTATTGAAAGGGCCAGAAGGTTGAGAGCCACTGTTTGGTCTCATGGCAGAAGAGCGTGGGGAGGGGCGGGGAGGGGCCTCACCCAGCCAGTGCCAAGAAAGACTGGAGATCACAGGTGAGGGGGCTGAAGGCTCTAAGGCCACAGAGTCATGTGCTCAGAGTTCCTGTGACCCCCAGACCTTCTCTGGGCCAGGAGGAGATTTTTTTTTTTTTTTACAGCTTGTCTGAAAACTGACCGTGGGGAAGGCAGGGGTCCCCTCTCACTGCTGTCCATTGGCAACCTCTGTCGAGACCGTGCTCAGCAGCTAGACACTAGGCGGGCACAGGTTCAAGACGCTTGCGTGCCAGCCCTGGGCCGGGCAAGGCTGGCACCTGGGCCAACCCCTGGGTCTCTGGACAGCGGCCCCGGACAACGGAGCATGATTCTCATCCCATGAGGCTCCTCTGAGAGTCGAGCTGGGAGAGGCGGTGCATGACTCCCCTGGAATCATTGCCGGAGTATAACGCTGAGCCCTGGGGAGCCCCGCAGGGTGGGGGTGGCTCCCCTCCCCCACGGGGCCGAACTGGTGTGCTTCATGCTGGCTCTAAAGGCTGACATGCTCTGGTGGGGGAGGAGGTGAGGACGGGGGTGGGAGCAGCTCCTCCCGGCCCCCAGCCCCAGCCCCTGGCCCCCGACAGTCGCAAGGCCAAGGTCAAGCACGACTCAGAGAGAGGTGGAAAGACTACCGACCAGCCATCTGCTTCTCCTTACTCCTTCTCTTTTTCTCCAGCCTCCGCAGACGCTTCTCCTCCCGCCGCCGGGCCTCCTCCTCCTCCTGGTGCTGCCGACACTTGTGGAAGTTCTCCACCACCACGCCCACAAACATGTTCAGGACAAAGAAGGCCACAATGAGCAGGAACGAGATGAAGTACAGGAGCATCCAGGGGTTGTGGTTCATGATGGGCTGGCAGGGAGCAGGAAGGACAGGAGGAGCCATCAGCCCCGGGGGACTGTCTCAGGTGCTGCCCCATCACCCGAGTCCTTTAAGACGGGGCCCACAAACTCTGTGAGCTACAGGGACCCAGCAAGGGATAGAAACAACCCGTGTGGGTTCAGTGTTCGGCAGTAGGGAGGGGTGGGGACGGTGGCAAAGTGGAGAGTGGCTCTATCGAAAGGGGAAGCTGCGTCTTTGCAGTTCGCCAATTTTTAAATGCTCACCACTAATTCAAAGTATTTAAATGTGTTGCAAAGCCAGTAAGACATGCCTGGGTTTGGCCTGCAGGCTGCCTGTCACAGCCTCTGCCGTGAGAGGCAATGTCTCTTCGATGGCATTTTCCCAGCCTGCCTTGCCCTCCTTCTCTCTAGTGTTGGCACCTGTCATGCCTGGAGTCGGCCCATGCTGAGTGCCCTCAGCCCCAACACGGGTCCTGCCCGCCTCGAACCTACCTGCTGGTCCACACCCACGGCATCCAGCCCATCGTACATGATGTCCACCCAGCCGTCCTTGGAGGCCAGCACGAACAGGGACATCAGGGCCTAGGGGGAGGGGGAGAAGGAGAGGAGACCATCGGAAATCTAGGATGTGTGGCCAAACCACCCACTACTTGTCCTCAAAGCACCTCCTGGCAGCAGCTTGGGGGACCCCAGCCCCTCCAAGGTCAGGCTGGGGTGTCACACTCCAGGCCCCTGGAGGGCTCCAAAGCTGGAATGAAACCAGAAGAGCCGTGGGACGTGATCAGACCCTCTGAACTTCAGAAACCAAAACCGGGGTGGGCCGGGGAAACACACCCGCAAAACCGAGGGAAGTACTTCTGTTTGTACATCTCCCTGTTTCTGGGAACGCGGAGTGAGAAAGGGAATCGTCTTGACACTGTGCCTGCACCCTGAGGCGGAAACATACAGCTCGTCTCACTGCATCCTTCCTGTGGCCTCCAAGGGAGACACCGCTAGGACCTGTTCACCGGCTGAGGAGACAGGCTCTGGCAAGGCCATTACCCTGCAGGCATCATTAAGCCGGACTTGCGTCCTCTGGGGACTCCTGCCACCACTCCCACCTGCACCTCACAGCCTGGGGCTCACCTGGCCGAGGTTGTCAAAGTTGTACTTGTGCCGGACCCACCGGTAACTGGCTTCGGCACAGTCAGACTTGTTGGTGATGTTCCTGGTGTCCTCACCCTGGCACACGAAGAACTTCCCTTTGAAGAGCTGGACACACATGTACCCGGAGACAGGGAGAAGTGAGCTGTGACCACCGGACGCCCAGAACTCCCAGCCCGCCTCTCCCAGCAGCCCTGGGGCCTAACAGCTCTGCGCGCATCCTGGGTGAGCGTAGGGGGCTCAGCCCTGGGATCAGCGGAGTCAGGGAACCTCCCCTGAAGGCACCCCTTCCTCTGGGCTCCTCGGAGCAGAGCACTAGAGAGGGGAGGGAAGGGTGGCTACTGAACAAAGGGTTAAAGGATGGGAAGAGCCACTCCTACAAAGGGCTGGGGGGCTGGTTCTCCAAGTGGGGTCCCTGGACCAGCAGCATCATCTGGGAATGTGCTATAATTACCAATTCTCAGGTCCACCCAGACCCACTGAATCAGGCAGTCTGGGAGAGGGGCCAAGTGATCTGGTTTAATGGTGAGGGTGGGCTAGGTGTCATTGACCCCACTTTACAGATGAGGAAAACAGAGGCTCAGAAAAGTAAATTCCCTCATTAAGGTTGTATAACCTTATACGACCAGAAAGGGGGCTCAAGCTCAGGTCTGTGTGGCTGGACAGCTCACCCTCACTCCAGAACAGACCAGGCTATGGCTGTGGGTGAGGAAGGGATTTGAGGCACGAGGACCAGGGGGCCTGGGCAGCAGCTCAGGACAGACCTAAATCCCCTGGAAGAGCCCCAGACAGGGCTCAACCATGGCTTCCTCTCCTCCTCCAAGCAGGCTGGCGAGAGAGGGAAGGGAAGGGGCACTGCTCGTGCGGGGAAGCACCACACAGCCTTGGCAACTGTACCTGAGCTGGGTCCCCGGGGCTAGAGAATTCCAGGAAACCGGGAAGAGCCCCCTCCCTTCCCCAGGGCAGAGAAGACATCCAGAAAGTCAAAGGAAAGGAGGGAGACAGGGGTAGCCACTCAGGAGCTCCCCTGCTGCCCCAACCGCCAGCTGTCTACCCTGCAGCTGAAACAGCTGGAGCCAGGGGCTCGGGAAGACAGGGCGGAGGGGCTCCCAGAGGCGCCTGCGGAATCCTATAGGCAGCTCCCGCTCTGTTTCCTCCAAAGCCAAGTTCCCTCCCTGGGCCAGAGGCCAAGTTTCCCCTGCAGCCCCCACTTCCTGCCTCGTCTGGGGTCTGCACCCGCCTGCCTGCCAGCACGCCGCTAACCTGGCCCAGCTGCCTGGGCCCTGGATCCCCAGGCCTGGCCTGCAGCCCACCCCACTCCAGCAGGGAAGGCAGGGAGGGGATCCCGGAGCAGACCGTGGGCCTGTGCCAGCATCTGCACTCCGAGTGCAGTGCACGAAGGGGGTGGAACAGCAGCCTGCAGCTGTCACAGGTCAGAAGCCTCTCTGAGGCCCTCGTCCCCTTCGGGCCCCCTTCCAGGCTCCCAGTTCTCTGCAAAGTGCCCAGGCGGCCAAGAGGCCCGAGGCCCGAGGCCTGGAGGAAAGCATCCCTGCTTCTTCCTTTCTGGAATAAAGGTGGCGCCCGCTTGGGCCTCGCCATCCAAGGACCCAGAGGAGAGCCACTCCTCAGGCTTCGGCTGACAGCTGCCCCTGCCCCGACCCCCACACACCTGCACCCCCAGGATGCCAAAAATGATGAAGAAGGCACAGCAGATGACCACGATGTTGCCGATGGGCTTCAGCGAGGACATCAGCGTCTCCACCACCAGCTTCAGGCCCTGTGCCCGGCTGATCACCCTGGAGAGGGAAGGGATGAGAGGGGTTCCCCCAGCTCGGACACTCCCCTGTCCCTTGCCCTGCTGCCCCGCCTCCCGATCTTGGCTCCTTGGTCCCCTGGGCTCAGGATGAGGGAAGAGGTTGGCTTTCTGGGCTGGCTGGGCAGAGCGGTCCTCTTTTCCTGGGACCCTTGCCACCGGGATGCCCACCCACCATCTCTCAAAACAGGAAGCCGACGCTCCCGCTCTCATTTCCCCTCCCGGGATGTCAGTGACGACCTGGGGGAGCTAGGTGGGGACTCAACTCAAGAAGGGTGTTCCCCAGGGATGCAGTGTGTTGCCAGGACAGGGACATACACTCGTGAGGAGCAGGCAGGGGGCGGGCAGGGAGGGAAAGGGGTGTGGCTTGTCACTGCTTGGGAAGCATCACTAGTCAGTCAGTATAGTCCCCATCCGTGTCCCCAGCCACGGACAGTTCGACTCTGGCCTGGGGATGGGAGGTTACTGCCTCTGAGAGGGACATGAAGGTGGAGAAAGCAAGGAAAGGCTTCACCAGGGAGGGCAGAGTGTCCCCCTTGAAGGTATCACCCAGGGCCCTTTGTACTGTGCCCTGCACAGGGCCAGGGCACAGCCGCTCTGAGCAGTATGTCCTCTAGGGAGTGTCCCTGAGGGAGGTGCCCAAGGACAGGAGCTCCTCAGCCTGTAGTTTCAGCCGAATGATGGCGGGGTTCTCTGTGGGGGTCACAAGCAGGAAGCCAGGGCAGGCGAGGTTCTCGCTCCAGGGTGGGGGTGGCCCCGAGGAGGCACCTGGCGGGGGCTCACC